TATATATATTTTTTTTTTTCTCTTGCTTCAAGAATCTCCACATAGATGGAAAATATTGCCCATATTTATGGAAAAAGGGAGAAAAATGAGAGAGCTCTGTATTTTAAGGAATGGGCCTTCTTCTTTTGTTGTTACTAGGTTTATTGAAGGTAATACCCCGGTAGAATATCATTAGAGTATATGTGAAACCTAACAATGAACTTCTCTCATTTGCTCCCTTTTGGTCTGTTAAATATACCATTGAAATTGTTTTTGGTAAATTGGCTTCATAAGAAAAAATTACTTGGTCTCTTCTAGAAATCCAGATCTGTCTTGTAACACTTCCAATGTTATCGCAGTCATTGTTATCAGCCTGCCCAGTTCACCTCTGTGGTCCACAAAACATATCCCCCCATGTTATGCAGAAGTAGAGAAGGAGAGGTGTTCTGTAGTCCTGACACACTTCCTGTCCTAGGGTGACAACGCTGCTCTTCGCAGATACAGTACAGTACTGTGAGTGAATGTTCCTTGTCACCCTAGGACAGGAAGTGTGTTACTGGCAGGATCACAAGGTAAAATAAATGACAAAAGAAAACTAATGTAGCTGCAACATCTATGGACTGGTTAGCTGCAATGTATTATGTTTTTGTTCTAACGTTTAGATAACCTTTTGGGGCTGATGTATAAACGTTCTGCCCAGCGTATAGCTGTGTGAATGCCACTGGCATGGCATTACTGCTAGATGGAATAGAGTAGCATAGCAATATCCTATGCCCAGCTATACACTGTGCGTAACGTTTATCCCGGTGTCCTGATTGGCCGGGAAGCCGGCTCCGAGCTCATTATTATTATTATTGCCAAATATTAATGATTCAGAAAATGGGTTTGTCAATATTTGACGCAATAGAGGTGTGCGGTAGTGCACCAAGAGAATGATGGTTCAAGAAAGTTACACATTTTACTATGCGCCAAATACAGTAATTTATATCATCTTTGACTTAATAGTTTATTTGACATGCAGTGCACCAAAATAAGTTATTTCTTGCGACAATTTGCATTCCTCAACAACAACCAATCTTAGTTCGTCTGCCCCACTGTCTATTCTTTACTCCACTATATGTCTTATTCTTCAGGCTCCTGCACTCAGATCGCGATGCAATTCCAGATGTTCCAGCTGTGTATTTTGTGATGCCTACAGAGGAGAATGTGGATAGAATCTGTCAGGTATGACTTCTTATTTTTCTTCAAATCTTGCTTTCAGCAAATTCTCTTATCCATTACATCCCATAAGATTACTTCATCAAAAAATAGGTCAGCAGTCTGTGTTCTCTTCAGCACAATAGTACTTGTATATAAAGTCTATTCTTCCTTGGCAGCTTCTGAATCAATTTACTACCCGACCAAAACTGTCCTGGGTTTTAAAAGAAAACAATATGTTGGGAAAAAAGGGAGCTGCCACAGCTGATCACATTTTAAAAAATGCTATCCCCTGGCCTCTGAACATTTTGACTCCTTGACCTGCAACAAGTGTGCGTGTTAGGTGTTCTAGTGCTTGCATGCTCATTCCTACTCTGTTAGCAAATGTTAAAGCCAGGGAGAGCCAGGAAACTATAATCTTCAGAAGGCATTCAGCCAACCATAGTAGCCTTCATATTTATCTCATGGCAAGTTTCCTTTTATAGTAGAACTGTAAATGCCAGGTCCGTACGGCATACTGAGCTGGCCAGCTGGAAGCACTTTTGTAGGTCCGTATGCCGTACGTCCTTGGCAGCGAAAGGGTTAAGAGGAGTCCTGTTTACTGTCAGCACATGGGGCTGTAAAATCTACACTAGATTTTTTTTTTTTTTTTTTAGACCAATGACCCACACAGTTATTTTTCATTTTGCTGTAGTGCTAGTACCATTCAGGAAAGAGCTCTTACAATATCATACCCAACACATTCAAGGATGTGGTCTTTCACAATGCTAGTAGAATTCTGTCCTACTGCATGCTGATGTTGGGTAGGTAGCATAGTATATGCTGGTAAAAGCAATTATCTTGCTGTATGGTGATGCTAAATAATATCCCTTATTTAGATGATGATCTCACAGGCAGGCCTAATGTTTGGTTTCTTTTTCATTTTTATTTCTCAATTGCAGGATCTCAGGACCCAGTTGTATGAGTCCTATTACTTTAACTTCATCTCTGCAATCTCTCGAAGTAAACTGGAGGATATAGCAAGTGCAGCACTTACTGCTAACACAGTGGCTCAAGTGTCAAAGGTGAAATTGTTTATTACCTTTTATCTGTTAGAGTATGTTTATGGTCAGTCGAGCAGCAAGAAAGTTTTAAATTGCCTTCTGTGTATAAAATGTCACCATTTGCACATTAGAATCTAGGGGACAAATACAGTACCCACGTCCTAATAATCCTCTTGCATATCTGAGTTGAATTATCTGAGTTGAATTATCTATCATCCATTCAAATTGTTTAAAGAGAATGATATGCTTATTTTTATTTAATGAAGAGATTTGGGATATGATGGTTTGTAGGGTAAGCCAAAGGAACATATTTAATCATTTATACAAACTTATCTGTTGGAGAAAATGTATTACTTGGCCACACAGATAGGCAGCGCAGACTAAAAGCAGTGAGAGACAGAATTACTATACAATTGCAGTGTAATCGTAATTTCAATTCAGAGACAATTGGGTTATACTGTTGCTTACAGGATGAATTTTACACTGGCAACAAAAGGCTGTTGGGCAGCTGGTTATAACCCTGCCCTCACATGAAGTTTTCTACTACTGTCCTATGAGGATAGAAAAGTTTTACCATTTTTGTTAGTTATGTTTTCTTTTTTTCTTTAGTCAAGACAACTACATGCTGCTATAATCGGCTCTATCTACAGCTATCTAGATTGCTGTTTCCTCAGCAGTAGCTTTGGCGGCCGTACCTAGACCCCTCTGCACCAAAGATTACGAGACTAGCCTGGAATATGACCTTTGGGCACTGGGCTCTACTTCTGGCGCTTGTGTACTTTGTAAGTTGGCTGCAGAGTACTCTTCAGATCCAGAGCCATGGCACAGACTGTGTCATAGCCCAGTCTCTGAGAACTCACTTTGTGAGTATGCCCACAGTCTCAGAAAAGTAACCTGGGATGTGACCATTTGGGCACTAGGCTCTGCTTGTGGCACATTCCAGACCTCTGTGTACTGTGTTAGTTCAGGGAACTCTCCAGGTGCTGAACCATGGTACCACCTCTGAGTACTCTATTATCATGTGTCTCAGCACTGGGAATTACTAGTATTGTTAAGTGCCACCATTAGCCGTTGTTCCGACAGCAGAAATGTTTTAGGATTTTTACTCAAACCTTTTCACTGTTCCAGTAGGGGTACATCAGTCTAATCTTGGATCTGAAAGCTTTAAATTGTTTTCATTTGAGTACAAACATTTTGCATGAAATCAACCAAGTCTGTCATAGCCTCTCTCCATCAGGGAGACTTTCTAGCCTCTGTTGATATCAAGCATGTGTACTTGAATGTCCCCATTTTTCCAGCTCATCAAGCTACCCTAATTTTTCTGGTGGCACACAACACTGCCAGTTTGCAGCCCTTCCATTTGATCTGTCCTCAGTGGTTTGAGTATTCAGTCAGGTACTAGCCTTGCTACACTCCCAGGGCATTCCCATTGTGGGATATCTGTGCAATCACCTGTTGAGGGAACAGTGGGCATACTGTAAATTCTGGCTGACAATATGATGTGGATGGTACAGACCTTAAAAATGTTTGGATGTATTATTAACCTTCAGAAGTCAGTGCTGGACCCGACACATCGCTTGGAGCATTTGGATCTCATCCCAGACACAGCTTAAATCCAGAGTTTGCCTTCCACAAGAAAAACGTTGAATTCTGAGCCTGATGGTAAGCCCTTCAAGCTCAGTTCCACTCCAGACATTCTGTTGTCATGGGCCAAGTCAGTTCAGTCTATAAGCAAACCGACCTGCCTGACACTTCAAAACCAGATTGTCTCTGGTCTGGTGGCTCTCAAATCCAGCTCTGGAATTTGGTAAATGTTTGCTCCCACTGTCTTTCGAGATCATCACAACGGATGCCAGCCTAAAGGGCTGCGGAGGAGTCCTAGACCCCTTATCGGTTCAGGGGACTTGGTTGTCAGAAGAATTTTGTCTCCCAATCATCATACTGGAGATGCAAGACATTTAGTTGTCCCTGCAGTGCTGGATACCCTGAGTGGTGGGTCATCTGATTAGGGTTCGGACAACTCTACAGCACATCAGCCATCGGGGAGGAAACAGAAGTCTTGCTGCAAGAGAGAGGTTGAAATCATTTTAGTCTAAGCAGAACTTCACGGACCAACCTTGTCTGCAGTTTCCATTCCATATGTGGACAATTGGCAGGCAGACTACCTCAGTCTTCAGCGCCTGAACCTAGGATAATGGTCCTTGCACAGAGAACTGTTTTAGGACCTGTCACAAGCGCAGGGTGGTGGATGTGGACCTCCTGGCCCCTAGGTTCAACAACAAAATGCACAGGTTTGTCTGCAGATAAAAGATCCTCTGTTGAAAGCAGTGGATGCTCTGGTAACTCAATAGGATAAGTACAGCCTGATCTATGCCTTTCCTCCTTTTGAAACTCCTTCCTCATCTACTCCAGAGGATTGAAATAGAGGGCATTTCAGTGTTCCTTATTCCCCTGTAAGGTCTGCCATCACATATGGATGGCTCACTTTGCATGGTGGGAGGAAAGAAAATTTGACCTTAGGAAATTCACCATGGAATGAATCCTAACCTTTCTGCAATCAGGTCTGGATCCGCATTTGGCCTTGAGTACCATCAAGGGGGCACGCCTCGGAATTACGATCTTATTCCAAAGACCGTTACTGTCCCATTCAATAGTCAAGACTTTTGCACAGGGTGTCTCTCATGTGGTCCATTCTGTAAAACTCCTTTGACTCTCTGGGTTTTTGTCAGCACTTCAGTGACGGACTTTTTAACCTATTGGGATATTCCCCTATTTCCTTTTCTACTCTCACTCAAAAGGTTGTGTTCCTTGTTGCTGTCACCTTTGCAAGTCTGAGCTGGCAGCCTTGCCATGTGGAGGAAGCAATTTGATCCTTCACTAGGACAAGTTAGCATTTAACCCTAGAGCCTCCTTCCTTTCTAAAGCGTTTCAGCTTTTTACCTCAATCAGGACATTGTTCTTCCACCTCTCTGCCTGTCTCCAATACATCATTGCCTGGATGTAGTTTTTGCCGTGCTTAATTCTCAGCCACTTCTTCAATTTAAAAGACCCACTTTCCATTTGTCATTCTTGTTTATCCCTGCAAAGGGGAACGATCTATTTGCTCCACCATTTCTCGGTGGCTCAGACTAATTATTGTTCAAGCTTATGGCCTTAAGGACAAGGTTCCACCTTTTCCTGGCAAGGAACACTATGTTGGTGCCTCTTGGGTTTTTCGGAATCGGGCAACTCTTTCCCACATTTTCAAGGCTGCCACCTGGACTTTTTTTGCACATGTTCTCTCATTTTACCAGGATGTACAGGGTGACTTTTTCTCAGCCAATTGCTATTGTTATTTCCCCAATAAGAGTTGGTTCTGGGGTAGTTGGTAAAGTGCTCCTTTCTCCATAGGCAGAAGCATGCGTGACTACCCCAGGTTAACATCCTTGTTTGTACTGTGATCATTTGCCTACTGCCACCTTTTGCTATAGGGTTTTGGAGATGTGGATACATAAACAGTGAAGTGATCCATGTAAGTCTCCAGTGCCTAACCCCGGAGTAATAGTCCTTACATAACATTTTTTTATTGTCCAAACTTTGTAAATTGTGCTAGCATGTTACTGGATGCCGTATTTACAGGTTATATGCAGTACATATATTTTTAATCTGTATGATTTCACTTTCATGTAAAATTACATTTGTTTTCAGGTCTTTGATCAGTATCTGAATTTCATAACATTGGAGGATGACATGTTTGTGCTTTGCAACCAAAACAAAGAGCTTGTATCTTACAGAGGTACATTTTATAAGATTTTATTTTTCTATTCATTTTTTATTCAAGTAATTTACATATCAGAGCATTTATATAATGTATTTGCATTGATTCTGTTTTAGCAAAATTGTTTAGTTTCCTTACCATATGTCTTTTGTAAATAGCTGAGTCTTCTAATTCTTTCCCCAGCGTTGAATAGACCTGACATTACTGACACAGAGATGGAAACCATAATGGATACCATAGTTGACAGCCTCTTCTGCTTCTTTGTTACATTAGGTAGGTCTTCAAGGACAATATATGATTTCTGGTATTATTTTTTTATCTGTGCTCTGGAGTAATTTTACAGTTGTATTATTCTTAAAAATTTTATTTGATAGTTGTATAACTTGCATTTATTGGCTTTACATCTTTCATATCACTGCCTCTTGCCTGCTCGTCAGACAAGGATCTGGTATCATCCCACTGCTGATTCAGTGTCCAGTGAGCAGGCAAGTGGCATCTAAAGCTGTAAAACTACATAAAGTCATGTTCTTGATGCATTGTGGCAGGCATGTGTGAATTACAAGACTGATTGAAGAGTTACAAAGCCTTTGGCAGAGGACACGGCTTACATTTATGTATTTAAGCTGTGTTAAGATGTGTGTCTGGAGTTCTACTGTAATGGGAAATACTGCATATTTAAATTTAGAAAAATGTTACTTTATTCTCTCGGAAATCTCCTGCTACATGTGACATCTTAGGTCCTTGTAATAGACTGTAACAATGCCATATGCAGATACCTGATTTTAAGCATCATAATTGCACATCCAGGTAATAAACAAAAATTATGTTTCAAATGTAGGTGCTGTGCACAGTGGAAACATTGCAGTAATCTATCTAAACCTGTAGTGAAATGTGTGGCTACATCTGACGTAGAATTATTGAATTGAAACATCCTGAATAGATTGGAACATCCTGAAACAAAGTAACAAAATTAAAGGATAACTGTACTTTTAGGGAGGGTACAGTTAACCTTTTGGCCTACCCCCTGAGCCGAAGAAGCCCTCCTTAACTCAGGTGTATCCTTATCTGAACAGGGCAGCTGTGTCCCACAGTGATCTCCAGATCCTCCACCCAAAATCTTTTCCCTGGCTACACTTGCACAGTCGATACTCATAGGCTTCTATGGGGCTGTTTTCCAAGTGCCTTCTGTAGCAAAAGTCTATGCACATGGCCAGGGAAAAGATTTTGTCAGAAGGATCTAAAAATCGCTGCAGGCTGCAACCATCCAGTTCAGTTAAGTATTCTTCTGGGGTGGGGTAGGGAGGTTCTTTTCAGTGCAACAATGACGTAAAAATATAGGAATAGCAAGAAATGCTGTTCTCTTAAACAGCAGTTTCACATTAATTTTAATGAAATGGTGATTGTTATAGATTATTTTTTGGGGGGTTTAAGTGTATTATTCTGACTCTGATTGTTGTGATAGCGATTTATCCCTTGTGAGACCTCTATGCCTGGCCTGTATAAGCAGATTCAATCACTGTGGACATTTATTGTCAGATAGCTGAACTCACCAATACCGTTTCATCCAGAAAGGTTGCTTTATTCTGCACATCAAACAGGATACAGCAGATGGTTGGTTTTCAGTATTATTGCGGTCAAAAAATGATGCCTTTTCTAGCGTACTATGTAGAATACATGTGTCCTAGTTACATGTGGCCTGTTAACTGTAGCCATGACACCGGAAGCACTGCCCTCAGGAAGAAGGGTGGGGCTTACATAAAGAGGAACTGTGTCATCGACCCCAGGGATATCAAGGAAGGCAACACAGAAAAACATACACACTACCATAAAAGGCCACTAGATGGCAACATAGGAACTAAATATAGAATGACTATAGAAAATGGTATAGGGAAACAATCTACATAAATTCTCCTCTACTAACAATGCTAATAACATATTCTATGCCCCATTGGGGCGGCACATGTATCAAATTGTTTAATCCAATACATTTGTGCTCTTTTGTTTGTGGCTATTAACATAGTTTAATGTACTTGGTTATTCTCACAATTAGGTGCTGTGCCCATTATAAGATGTGTAAGAGGCAATGCTGCAGAGATGGTGGCAGTGGTAAGAATGTTTGATATATTTTGGCCATTTTCATTTAGCTAAAGGTGCCCTTATTTTATCCATAAACGTAAGATTACAACCTCGATAAACAAGTGATTTGAGATGAATATTTATTCATGTAAGATAGCTTATTCATCTAAAGATTTGTCGCCAAAAAGATCAGTCTGTAGAGAAAGAAATTCTGTTCGTTTTTTAAGATTGGTATGCAGAGGGTATGGGTATGTGCAGGAGAGAAGTACGGAGGGTATGACAGTACACACTATGCGCAGTAGAAGAGTGCAGAGGGTATAATAGCAAGCAGTATGTGCAGGAGAGGACTGTAGAAGATATGACAGGGGTTGGGGGCAGTATGTGCATGGAAGGAGTGTAGAGAGTGTGACAGCGGGCAGCATGTGCATGAGTGGAGTGCGGAGGATATGACTGGGCAGTATGTGCAAGAGAGGAGTATGGAGGACAATATAGTGGGCAGTATGTGCAGAGGGTATTATGGGGAGATACCCGGAGTAGGAATGTTTGGGATTTGACAAAGGGCATTATGTGCAGGAGAGGCGTGCAAAGGGTATCTCACTGGGTAAAGACCAATCTCTGTGCTTAGAGGTGTGATTTAATTGGGGAAGGACCAGGAAGAGGCAGTATGCCCCAACGGCAAAATTAAGCTCTCACTTGGGCATTTCCAATTGTGAGTGTGAAAACGAAGCTGACTTAGGTAATATATTATTAGGGAGGTAACATTTGAATGTTTGGTACTGTTGCATGTGTATTTTTTGGGTAAGGTATCTTTTTAGCAGGATCTGCTGAAACTCTGGCACTTCATAGTGTCTTTTGGTAGCGTGATGACTGCAGGTTTTAGTGACTGGTCAGATGTACCAATGGTACTGTCTTGTGTTGTTTTCAGGGCACTCCTTTCAGTGAACCTTTAGTTAACCCTTATATTGGCCAGTATTTTCACAGTTCTCACAAAAAGTACTGCAACCGGATGATTTGCTGTTATCTAGTTATGTGTTGGCACTGCAGCTCCTACATACTCTAACAAGTGGGTCAATATCCTATTGCAAATGCTCTCTTTCAGAAACTGGATAAGAAGCTACGTGAAAATCTGCGAGATGCCAGGAATAGCCTGTTCACTGGAGATAATCTTGGAGCTGGGCAATTTAGGTAACTGTTATGCTTTCTCTTCTTTGTATCTCTAGGCAAACCTTCTTCTTCTTTTTTTTTTTTTCTAAGTTTTGGGATGGGGATAAGTTAGACCCTCTGTCAATTTTTTTTATTGCTGAAGGTGTCCCCATTTGAGAGATTCACCCAACTATTGTACTGGGGATCATTGTCGTCTAGAAATAAAGGGAAATCCAAAGTTTTGATGCTGAGTCCAAAACAAGAGGTAAGGGGGAATCTTCCAATGGGGACACCTGCTCCAGGGACAGCTGTCTAATAGGGGGATTCTAACACTAACAATTTTAGGAGCAGGTGCATTTTTTCCATCTAGGATGAAAGTAGAAATGAGGAAAATGTTCAAAGAGGGAAGAGTAGTGGAAAGTAGAAGAAGGATCAGAGGGAGAGTTGTCATGGATGGAAGCAAATGGGAATGACTAGAGAAGAGCCTGAATATGGGTGGTAGTGGAGGAGAGCATTTGTTACTACAGGGAATATGAGTAACATTGATGAAAACTAAGAAGAATGAGCCAAGAGGGACTCGGGGATAGAAGTAGAGGAGAATCATCGCAAAGGGAAGGACAAGAAGCATGGATCAAAGAGATCATAAAAGAAAATTTGTCTTCTAGCAAGACCATGACCCCAGTCATGAAACCCAAGCTATACAAGAATGGCTTAAAATGTCAGTGTTCATGTCCTGGAATGGTCAAATGGGTCACTGGGAATCACAGTGGCTTAGTGGTTAGCATTTTGCCTTGCTTCACTGGAGTGCTCGGTTTGCATCCTAGTCAGGGCACTATCTGCATGGAATTTGCGTATTCCCCCTCCTCTTGCATGGCTTTCCTCTGGGTGTTGCGCTGGAAGAAAGTAGAGCATGCGCTACTTTTTTTCCCGGACGTGCAGACAGCATCGCAATGCACTGGTGGGAACTCTCCCATTCACACCAATTCATTTTTCTGTGCAAAAGGAATTGTAATGCAATGGATTCAGTGTGAATAGGGCCGAAAACATGAAAACTTAAAGGGGAGTGAATTATATTTTTCAGAAGTGTTAGTCGTTAGGTCAGTTGCTGAGAAGTTTCTCGAATTATAGGCTCAAGCTTTGTACAGGGCTTCTATTTTTGTCCAAGATCATGATTTAAAATCTAGAAAGGTTACATTGTTTTATACTTTCAGTTTAGCTCGCAGTAAGTGACAAGGACTCTGCATTTCTGTCAAGATCAACAGGTACTTCCTGTACTTGCTGAAAATGTTCTCAGCCTGAAAAAAAACGAATCTAGCCACAAGGACTGGTAACTGCAATGTATTACATTTTTGTACTTGGGTTTAGTTTTCAAACCTACAAAATCTCTTCTGTTTTTTTTTTTTTTAATTTCTAGCTTCCAGAGGCCTTTATTAGTTCTTGTGGACAGGAACATAGACCTTGCAACCACTCTTCACCACACGTGGACTTACCAAGCACTGGTCCATGATGTTTTGGTGAGTATTTACACATGAAATCCTATGTTATTTTTGCAGGGTGATTAATATTGAATCAAACAGTAAATGAATGGTCTGGCTTAAAGCACAGTACATTAAGATGAGCATGTTAAATGTCCTGCAGCGGACCGGGCTGGTGTGAATGGTCACTAAATTAATTTTTTATCTTATCAGAAGCATATTAAATGTTACAAAACCATATTCACTGTCAGACACCTTACTTTTATATTTAAAAATCGATAGGACATAAAGTGACAATAATGTGAAACTCTTACTTCACTGCCTTAGTTTTTCTAATCTGTCCTGTAATAAACATTGCTTAGGCTGCCCAGACACACAGGCAGATCCAATCAGTAAGAGCAAATAGTGGTGAGACATCTTTATTCAGTTCACTGCGGCCTGTCACAATGTTACATTGTGAATTGTCAGATTTAGAGTAAAGGCACAGTTGTGGTTAAGTCCTGCCTCTGTTTTCTAAGTGGAAAGGGAGGGATCGACCTATCCGCAGAGACTGTTCAACACTGTCTGGGTTATTCTCTGAAGTTTGAAGAGTTTGGAGAAGTGAACATTCTAGGACAAAATAACTGATTTGGAAAAATTCTCCAATTCACTCACTTTCCAGTTCAGCTATGTTGTCCTGGATTGTTCACTTCTCCTGCCTTCTCCAAACTCTTCACCCTATAGAGAATAACCCTGTCTGTGTTCAATAATCAGTTCTTATTAGGGCTGCAACTAATCGTTATTTTCATTATTGATTAGTTGGACTATTATTTTTTAGATTAAAATATTTTTTTAAATGTAATTAAAATAAGATCAATACCATCCTTAATTTAAAATAAAATACACAGATGCAGTGTTACAAACATAAAGTTTACTTCAGAATAAAACTGCACGCACAATTTTTTGCAATCACACTGCACTGGAATGGACGGCATTGCGGTAGTGTGATCACACTGTGGGTAGGAGGCGCGTTTGGGGTGCCATGAAATGAATGGCACTGCTACGCACCTCCCGCAGCAGAATTAGTCAGGCCAAAACCAAAAATTACTTTTGTAAGCACATGGCACTTAAATAGCTTCAGCCAGGGAATGACGGCTGCCAGTGGCAAGATTTCGCAAATGGCAGCTGAATGTCAATTCAGCAGGTAGTGGGCTGGTGCAATAGCCAGCCTGCTATTAGCCATCTCAAATTGCAATAGCAGGCTGGCTATTGCACTTGCCCACTGCTTGCTGTGCCCTCCTCCCTGCATGGAGGAGAGAGAGCCAGGGGATCCAACCAACTAATTGATAATGAGAATAGTTGACAACTATTCTCATAATTGATTAGTTGGTTGCAGCCCTAGTGCTTATAACAGCTGGTGGTGCTTTTTATTGTCTCCTGGGAAAGCCCTTCTTCACATGATTCTCCTCCAGTCATCGCATGGGCTGCAGGATCATGGTAGTATTGGGCCACATATGTCCACTCCGCCCCAATGACTTGCATCTCCTCAAAGTCTAATTTTATATTTTAGACCATGTTTCATATTACACCAATATTCAGGGTGTAACATGAAACATAGTCACATCACCACCTCCCGTGCCCATTTCACCAACCCATTTACCTGACGACTGGGTTTTTTCCCCACAGGCTTCTGCTATTTTTTTAATCTGGCACAGCTGTGCATGGTTTCGATCACACTTCTGACCCATCCATTCATAGATCCTTTGCCACTGCGGCAGTGGGACTTGTATTTCTCAATTATTTCACCGCACTTGTAGTCCATTCATATTTTCTCCCTTCCTGTTACTGAATCTCTGTCCTGAGGTATGGACAGGAATGAGGCGGAGTCTGCAGGAGCAAGAGCATTGCACCCATGATCCACTGATCACAGTTGCAATAATGTACTGCCTCCAAAGCAAAAAGATAATAAAGACACTTTTTTGTATTTTATTAATATGTGTGTATTTATTATTTTTGAACTTTAGCTTTAAGGCCTTGTTCACACTAAGCGCGGAGCAGAGCAGTTGCAGACCGGATCAAAACTGCGTGCATTGTATTCCAATGGTATTTTTTGCTCCAGTTCACTTTGCAGCGTACAGTTCCAGAGCAGGTGAAAAACTGCAGCAAGCCCTATTTTACCTGCTCTGGATGTGCTCTGGAACGCATAAAAAACGCATGCAAATGCATGGAACGCACTGAAAGCCCATGTTGTGTGAACAAGGCCTTAAGCTGTGTTAGGTGGTGATCACTTTGAAGTGAATAATCAATATAAAATGTTTTTACCCTATAAAGAAGATTTGGGAAAAATGTCAGAATTTTTAATCTGATTAAAAAAACAGTATTTAATTTCAGAAAACGGGCAGGGATCTAGAATTCAGGAGATTCCCTACCAATTTTCACAAATGAACTGATAACCGGAGTTATTTATTTGCACTAATTTGAATACAAAATAAAAAGCAATAATGTGCAAAAATATATTCATTTATTAACTAAAAAATCAGTGCAAAATAATCAAAAAAAATCGGTGACAATAAATAATAATCAAAAATATGCCATACGATTGATCAGCAAAGATAATAATTAAAAATAAAAGGATATTTTTTTAATATTCATGAAACAGAACTATGTATGTCCTGAAATGCAGCTAGTAACACTTTTAGTAGCTCAGCAGGATGTGACAAACGAATATGCAGACTTAGCACCTGACCTCTCCCAGTAAACAGATATTCAAAGTCCTTACTGCACTTGAACTACTTTAGAATACTATGCACAGGATTAGCTAATCAGTCTGCAATCTATTTGGGGTAAAGACAAACTTCCGCTAAGCTATTTTATTTTTTTATATACCATTGACTAGAAGCTAATATCCGCTTCAAAAGGAGACTCCCCCCAATATTGAAAGGGAGACAATTTTTACTGCAGCTACAATTACTCCAATTCAATCCCGATCTGTATCATATCATGTGATGACCTTTGGCATAAGATCATTCTTTAAAACATTAATTTAGAAAATGGCTATCTCTCTGACATGAGTTCCTCACGTTCTGGAGACTAGTGTCTCTTTCTTTAGATGATATACTGCTTTATAAAGTTTGAGAAAGTTTTATACCTATATATCTTCTACATACATTGAGAATGAGGTAATTTGTACTGAGAGACTGTAGTTACTTAAATTCTTTCACCGATTACAGAAATAATGTATTTAATATATTAATTTGTAATTTCGAAAACACCATATTAATACAATACACCAATATATGTCAATTAGTAAAACCAAGTAATATAGATAAGATATATAGGTTTAATATTGCATAAAAAATTACTTAAGCCAATATTTAGATACCTCATGCAATAAGAATAATACAATTGACATTATTAGTCATAATCTATTAAACAATGATACTATAAGGTAATTTTTAATATGCACTCTTTTTCATATGTTGAAAACATGAGAAAGAAAAAAAAAAATATCAAGGTGAATGGTTCTTTGTGCTTTGTTAAGCCCAAGACATGGCCTCCTCCGTTTTTAATCTTACAGATTGGTACCATGGTCATGCCTTATTTTGCTGTTGTCTGGTACCACTCGACTCCCCAAAATGTTCAACTTGAGAACCTAAGCTGTAAGGGTCTGAGAATGGCTGATGTTAGAGTCTTTGTCTTGAAACCATGAACTCAAATTCACCTTGTATACTGATAGAATGGCAAGAACAAAATGGTTTCCAGTATGCCCATGTTACATTATGTAAAGATGTTAGGTTTAGGCCTTACAGTTTAATTCTTTTAGCACTCAATAGTTCCAACAAATCATCTTCAGGCAAGGAGAAAAATCATAGGATTGTCTAAAACAGGTATCAGTATAGCTTGAGAAGGGGTTTCTAAAGTTTCATAATTTGTACCAGCAGCAATAGAGGTAGTTAACACATGGCCACCTTGTAGAGTTGCTGGGTAGCAGCATTTAGTCTATTTCAGCTGTCATACTTCCGTGCATCGAGGGTGCCGAGGCATGTATGACTGTAGTATGAGATGCTGCTCCAGATGACAGCCAGGGTAAATGCTGATAGCAGTGCAGAGACTTTAAAAATCCCTCATCAGGATCCCTGTAGTCCTCCCAGAGTGTTGAAGTGTGAATTTTTGACTTGTATAGGACAGGGAGCTGCAGGCTGAGAGCAACTGGTGAGTATAACTTTTTTTTTTGTAACCGAGACAAAAACGAGTAGTTAGCCCTGGCAGTGCGGGGGGTAGCCCCAGTACAAGGGTTTATAAGATTTTTTTTTTCTGAAGTTCTTCTTTATTGGCATGCAGTCTAGTTTTAGATGTTAAGGGCCAGGTATTATCAGCTTTTTAATGGTGGTAGCACCAGCCTACCAGCCTGTTTTGTTTAAATTAAATATTAGCCCTTTCTGTACTGTTTTATAAAAACAAAAAACAGATCAGTACAGTGCAGCAGATATAAGATTATTGATTTTATTATTATACAGGATTTATAAAGTGCCAACGGTTTGCGCTTTACAATATAAGGAAGACATTACAATACAATTCAAGACGAGATGGTAAGGAGGGCCCTGCCCGTGAGGGCTTACAATCTAAAAGGAGGGGCCAGTGATACATGAGGAGATTACTATTCTGTTTAAGTTAAGTACTTATTTCAAATGAATGATACCAACAGAATCCCTATCTGCACAGCTATTGTTCAGCTGGGACTCCCCCAGCCATTATATTTTTGGACTGCTGGTAATGCTGTTCCCTTACACATAAGTCTGTGGTTTATTAAGGGTATCAATGTTCTGTAGTCATGTGTTGTGTCGGACCCTCAGGGATTACAGCTGCAGTCATACATCTTCCACTGGGGGTCACCATCTGTCTTGTATTGAATTGAACAATGTGCAGAACTACATTGCAAAAAAAACATGATAATTGTAACCGTTTGCAGGATGCTGTGGCAAGAGTATATGGAGTATATTATCATTTCTAAGGAATTGTATGGGAAAAGGAAGGGTATGATATCAAATACTGCCTTTAGG